AGGTGAACAGGGAGTTAGTCTCTGCCAAATGTCAGCTGGTTCTCCACATAAAAAGACCACCTGGCACAAGTGAAATCAGGACGGAGGGACAAGATTGTACTGAACACTGAATACTGCCTCCAGTCTTTAAACTGCAGCCAAGCACAAAAGGCAGCCTGACCGGATTCTGACAGATAAAAACAATCCACTAAACAGAGTTTTCATTCACTTCCTAAATTCACGCTCACCTTTCTTTTTTCCATTTGAAATATTAAGATCATAATACAAATGTCCATTTTTAAAATTAATCTCCCATTGAACGGGGATCTCTTAGGCGTGATTAAAGCGATGGAACATCAGAGGATAATGTTCATGGGAGTTAAATCCAGATTTTGTGTCATCTGTAGCTGTTCAGACCCTACGGATGCTGCCACAAAGACACAAATAGACACTGTCTTTATGGACATACTTACAGAATGTAAGACTATTTGTTGTTTGACAAGTGAGGTTATTATGACCTGCAATCAACGCCATTCAGGTTTGTCTTGATCTGTGGATGTTAGCCAACATCTGTATATATAGCATAAGCTGCTAATTATCTTTTTATATGGAGTTGTGGATAATTAAGCAGATAAACGCAAACCAGGATGACTGAAGGGGACAGTCAGTGGTACAGACAGTGGATTTGTGGATCGTTTTCAAGCAATAGACGAGCAGACGGACAGCCAGTGGGGACATGGACTCTAACAAATCCTTTGACAGAGACCTGTGATGCTGAACCAAGAAAAAAACAAAACAAATACAAAACCTACTTAAAACCCAACACATAAAAATTCATAAGAATGTCATCCTGGGTGTTCTGCTTTATTTGACTGCATGTGCTCGTGCATTTTACTGGTTTAAATTACAGAACAGGCTTCAGTGTAAACATGAGTTAGCAGGCAAACGTCTCTCTGACCTACAGTTTGAAGAGGGTGCCGTGGATATGATGGAGGTCCTCAAAATACATTGAGCCAATTTCATTTCAATGGTGGAAAATCAATATATCCCAGTGTCCTATTTACCTGCAGAATATCCAGAGAGGTATGGAGGAGTAGATGAAGGTTGACCTGTTCCTGACACGATTACACAGATATCCTCCAGATGACTCGAGAGGCCACAAGCTACAAGGATGGTTTTTAAGATAAAACTCATGAATCATTTTCAAGTTTCGATGGTTTAAAATTGAGAGTTGGAATATTTTTTTTCAAACCTTTAACTTCGTTTGTTTGTTGTGTTAATTTTAAAATTCAAGATATAGTTAAGACCTGGCCAAAATACTTGAAGTGTTCATTTGCGAAAACAGATATCTCTGTATTGATTTATTTATAAGTTATTTTATAAATCAAAATTGTCATCGTTTGAGCAGCTTCAGGCCGCTGCCACATGCACAAACTCAAACAAAAAAATATTTTATAAGGCCACTATTTAAGGTTTGACCGCATACTCGTGGTTGGATTCAACCCTGTCCAGGTGTAATTTAAATGTATAACCAGTTTTTCATTAAACCAGTGCCACATGTTAAACTAATAAATTCAAAGAAGAGAAATGTATAAACCAGCAGATCCACTGAGATCATGGAAAATGTCACAGAAAAGGGCGAAAGGTTGAGGATAAGGATCACGGGGAGTGTGAGCTGAAAGTGAATCCACTTCCCGAGACTGAGCTCACCTAAGGGTTTCTGAGGATCAGCACCTGACATGAGAGAGGGAATGCGTGACCTTGATGGTTTTAGGGAGAGAAAATGACTTTTCATCTACGCTGGCTGTGAGGATGAGGGGCGACGAGTGACACAAGAGAGCTTAATTCAGCCTGCAGGATGGAGGGAGGGGACGGAGGATGCAGAGAATGGATGAGCGAAGAGGTGGAATTGAGCATTTGTCTGGCTCGGGTCATATCTGATTAAAGTATATGAGTCCAGTATGAGGGGTAATTTTCATCAGGCAGCCAGATAAGCCAGAGCCGCACAGACAGAGATTCTTTGTTATTCAGCAGGACTCGATCACAGGCGCGTGTCCTCCGCTGCCGTCACAATCCCTGCTGATTAACGCAGGAATAGAGAGGATGTTCTGTTCAAATTTCTCTTTCTATACCTCCCAACCCACCCCCATCTCTTTTTTCCCCCTCTCAGTCTCCCTCGTGTCTCTCTTTATCATACAGAGCCTGGTAGGTGTCAAGGGGAGACATTTTTGATAAATTGTTCCCTCAAACTGAGAATAATTCCCTCAAATTGATTTGTCTGCTCAATGTAGCTATTATCTTTACTCAATTTAGTCATTTGTACTCTTGAATTACTAAATTCTTACTAAATTCTTCCCATCAAAGTGAGAGGTATATTCTAGGCCTCTGAATCTAGGGCTTTCCCCAACTGAAGATTTGTTTGTGATGTAACGACTGTCTGTTAAATAATAACAGAAAAGAAGGTAATGAATTGGAATATGTACAACCGGCAAGGACACTAAACATTTAGTCTATTTATTTACAAATTAACTTGCTACCCTGCCTGTATCCACGTGTCTAGTCTTGGTCTGAGCTGCTGTAACACGCCTGGTCTCTGAAGGTGTCAGAGGCTGAGCCCGGCTCCATTGTCTGCTTGCCTGACTCTGGCTGTGACTATACATAGTTAAAAGAATATTATATATGCAAGATGAAACTGACAGAAGGGCGGGACTGAGAGAGTTTGCTACTTCAGCACCACGGACAGCAGATGGATTTATCAGTACACAGCACAGTTAGACTGCTGATGTTTCAGAGCCGTGGTCGGGGTCGTAGAGTCTAAGTTAGAGTCTAACACACACCTCAATCAAATAAAGGATCAATGACTAACACATTCAACCAAACAACCCCACTGACGCAGCAGGGAATGCGGGTTAACAGGGGATGCATTGAATCGCATTGGGTTCAATTAAATCGTGTTGGTTCATATTTAATGCATCATCAGATTGTTGGCTGTTGTGATGTAGATACACATCCTCAACCCACAGTAGTGTTTCATAATGAAAGACAGCGGTTCCTCACTAGGCCTCAGAGAAAGACAACCATATCTTGTTCTTTGCACTCTTTTGCTTACAGTTCATCCATGAAGTGCTCTCTGACATTTGGGACACCATGGTTGGTTTATCTCTGCCCTCTCCTCCCTGATCACCTTAAACAATCACAAGCCATGATCAGTCAGGGTTTAACATGTTGCAGTCTGACATGTCTCGGACAATCACAGCAGGACGCAAAGGCACCATAATCACCTAATCTCACACAGTGACAGATGGACATTTTCTGTATTCACGATTCGTGGTGAACATGAACGTTAATTTAGAGTTGATTTCTTCATGTTCTTTGCTCGACGTGGTTGATTCTACATTGCACCTTTGTCACATTTTAGAACTGCACCAGTGAACAAGCAGAGCTACAAGAAGATGACCTCCATTTTAAGACTGTTGATGGACGAAGTTGAAAATCTTTAAAAAGAAAAAAAAAAAGCCCTCTTCAGCTGTGACAGCTGAACCTCTGAAGGCCACGGTGGCGTCCACAGTGACTCACTGGATGCCATGATTGATTTAAGGGTCAGTGAGTCTAATACATTTCCTCTGAGCCGATCTTTGAACGACTGATGTGATCTTAATTGAGTCTAGTTCATCTTCCCAGAGAAAGAAGGGAGAAACACTCACAGAGGTACGGGGAATATCACAGAGATAACTGACAGCACTCACATCAAACCATGAGTATGTTCAGACAGTATTCTCATTGCTCAATGTTCACGCTGTATTCGCCAAATGAAAGCTGTACATTTTTCTTGGCAGTCGATGATTACGTACATACCCGTATGTACATATATCTGTGTTTAACTGTTCTAGCAGTGGGGCTCGAGGGATGACAGCGTAAGTCGGTCTACCACTTAACTGAAATATCCGAAAGATTATTGGATGGATTGTTGTGACATTTTGTAGAGACAATCGTGAATCCTAATCACTTTGGTGATACTCTGAGTTTTACTTTAGCACCACCTGCAGGTTGGTAGGTTTTCACTTATCCAGTGAAATATCAACCTGACTTGGACACGGAAAGTCTTATCTGTATCACTGTCACAGGCTAACTTCAACCAATCAGATCAATGAACCAGCAACCCATCAAGAAAAGCCTTCAGTGTTGTTCTACTCTCCAGTTCTAAAATAACTGATGCTAGCAGCATCTACACTAACCTCTTTAGGAGCCGCCATTGTTGTTTTGGAACAGTTACTTCTCACTGTTTCACACTGCGAGAAGGACGTGAAATATCACCACATCTACACATTGTCAACATTGATAAATCCACATTGAGGATTCAATGACTCCTCCATCCTACACAGAGCATTCCCTCCAGTGTACAGTTAATCAAATTTCAACTCATTTCACAAAGTTCATCTCAACTCATTGATCCAAACAAAGATGACAGACAATTAAGATAATTAATCAGGTATTGTTTCCAGCCACAGTAATATGAAATGGCTGCTTCTATAGTGACAAACTCACAGAGAATTATCACCACCTCTGCAACTGTTTGTTTTCTGCCAATCAAAGTAGCTGTATTCATATCACTGTTTATGTCATAATATTTATATCTCGGCTTTACTGGTTTGGGTGTTACTTTGCTGAACCTGAATCCAAATTACATTTAATTTGTTTTTTATAGTTTGATTTCATTTGGAGGGTAACTGTTTTAGACTATTACAGTATTTTCTGACTTTGTGCTGATTTTAATAAAGTCTAGTTTTAACCTTTGTTTAAGTTCCTATTGGTGTAGTGCATCTGATTTAAACTGAGCTGTACTGAAAGAAAAGATCCTGTCCGACCTCAGAGCGCCATCTCTCTCCTCTTGCTCCACTGGGGCTCATTTTAAATCACATCAGTCATCGTTGGATTTGTTCATTCCTGAGCGCAAAAACAACCCAGTTAGTGAGGTCTGAGACATTAGCCTGTGGTAGAAAACACAAGAACTCACCTCAGCCTGTAGAATCTGAAGAACATCTCGCCGCATGAAGTCGACAGAAAGGACGAACAAGTGGCTCCCAGTGTGTCCCTGCTCTCCCACCAGCCGCACATTTCAGCTCCGGCACCACTGACAGCATCAGAGGAGGCGACGTGACTCCGGCAGGTTCCCAGGACCATCCGAGACAGGGTGTTTCGTGTGTGCTTATCATCACCACTGCATGTGACAGCCGGACGGCGGGTCTACGGTCACATAGCTTCTTGGCTCCTTCATCCAACATTTACGCGCTTTTAAGGTCGGGAGGAGAATGTTGACACATGTTCTGGCACGTTTCTTTCATTTTATGACATTATAGCCTGCTGTACTCTGCCACTTGTTTTTGTTAATTCACATTTGGAGATAAACCAAAGATTTGACGCACAGATGTTCTTCTTTATTCGTGCGTAAAAGCCGCGCCGCCCGTGACGCGTTGTGCGTTTCGTCAATGAGAGCTGGGTAAGTTTTCAGAAGCACTGATGAGCTCTTGTCGGACGGAGACTTTGGCATCTGAAGGAACCTGTTGGATTATAAAAAATACAATCTGTTACTTTTAAAGACCACAAGTCTTGAGAGTCCGCTGTCTCTGATTCTGGTGCGTCTTCAGCTGGATTTTTGCGCCTTTGTGATCCTGCAGATTCAAACCTTCCTGTGGGGATTACATGGTAGAAACAATGTTTTTGTGCAACACGAGTGCCATAAAGGACTGGAGCTATTTTCTGTCGCAGATACTGCCCCTGATGAATAAAACTACAGGCTTGGTAAACATGGACAAAGCGGAAGATGTGACGACCACCATGGTGACGGCTCTGCAGCCGGACAGCGCCATGAGCGCGAGTAAGCCGCCTCTCAACTCCAACCATACCTCGGGCATGGAGCACGTCTTTCAGTACTCTTATTCGGAGAGTGACCTGCTGTACACGGACTACCGGACCCCTGCGCGAGACTCCATCCCGCTGCCCAAAGCGGTTCTCTACCTGGTCATGGCAGCGCTGGTGGTGGTGGCGGTGGCGTATGCGATAGTAGGACACCTGGTCAAAGATGTGGTTAATGACTTTGTCGGTATGTGACCCCTATTTTGTGTCCGTGTGTGTGTGTGTGTGTGTGTGTGTGTGTGTGTGTGTGTGTGTGTGTGTGTGTGTGTGTGCTTTTACATTATCAAAAGGAACATTGAAAGAACTGGAAACACAAAAATATGTGTATAGAAGCAGCACATCTTCTATTAGAACAGTTAATTAATATACATTTACAGCTGGAGAAACTTGTAGTAAAATATTAATGAAATTTACCTTTTCTTAATTTTGTATTTGGACCCCTGGAACCCATTTAAAGACCCCTCCTTGTAGCCCATTAAAACACAACAATTGTTGCCTGAAACTGACAACACAGAACACAAACATCTTAATTTATAGATGAATTAAGTGATTTGGGGGCTCCTTGAAATAGCAACTGAGAGGTTCTTTATTAATTGACTATGTACAGTGACAGTTCTTTGGGTAAACAGCAACCGGTAAACTATGGAGAGTGTTTTGTTATCCATCCCAAGTAATTTTAATGCAGATGTGCAGTAGCTGCCTCATATCATCCTGTGACCTTGTGAGGGAGACGTCCTGACAATCTACACTATCAGTGAGTGTCTGTGTGAGAAATGGAGAGAAGGTCTGCTGTTTCTCTATTTTTGAAGAGTGTCCTGTGAGCGATACATAATGAATGAAACAATGAGTCTATTTTTAGGGCACGTGTCCTCTCATAGTGCTGACTTGACTTGATAGTCAGCTCATTACATCAGGTGATTTAAAGCAAAATAGAGGATTTGACTCAGTAATGCTTTACCAGGGGGGCAGATCAGGACAGGGGCACATTAACTTAGCAGCTGCAGGAGGGCCCTCAGCCACCAGAGGGCCCCCAAACGAATGGAAAATATTCGTTCTGGATACATTTTATTATCATAATTGCTGTGCTTTTGTCATTGTATTGCATTTCATGGTGAAATCTGTGTTTGTCTTTTGAATATTTAACTAAACATATTGAAGATTTAAATGCCATTTAAGATTTATTTAAAGTGGAAATGTAGATATGTATGTGTTTTTTTAGATAAGCAAACCTGCTCTCATGATAATAACCTTGGATGTTGCAATGACTCACTTGCAAAAAATTCTCATTTTCTTTCCAATTTTACAAAAACAGTTTCATACTGACCAACTCAGACTACAAGGACAAGGTTGTTTTTTGTCCAACAGAAACGTTCCAGAAGTTCCAAATGCAATGAACAGTATTCGTTTCTAAAATAAACATTATTGGGATTAATAAACTACCAAAAATGCCTGATGTTTCAAATATGATACAGAAAAAAAATTCACTTTCACTTTCAATAAATTATTGGTTTTAAAAGATCTCGTCAAAGGACTGCAGTTAAGAATTAGTTGGCTAACACACACGCACATTTACAGAAATGTTCATTAATGTCCTTATTATTAAATAATAAATTAAATAACCTAAACCTAACCATGGAATAGACACTTGTGATTTGAATTGTAGCTGTGCACACATGGGGAGAGGTACCAAATCTTTCATAGGGCTTCAGAAAGGCAACCCTGCTCTGGGGCATCCACATCACTGACCTCTGTGTCTGAGCTTTCTCTCTTTACAGTCGTATTATCACACCTGTCCACCTGTGTTTAAATGACTTCTGTTCCTGCCTTCCTTCTTTGTCCTTATTACTTCATAAGACACAGATGGAGTCTGTGTGCAGAGTCACTAACATGCCTGTTCTCGTGCAGGTGGAGGCAGGTCGATGGTTGCTGAAGGTGACGGAGGTGAAACCAGTGAACCAGGTAAAAAAAACAAAGCTCACATGGGTCACAGTCTGCAGCACTTAGCTTTGCCACAGAGACATGCTGACCCCCCTTGAACTGGTCAGCAGTGAGAACTGACCTGTCTGTCTGCCTGCTCCTGACCTGACATTCCCACCTTCATATGAAAACTCACACGTACACATTCACACAAACACACAGGTGACACGGTGTCTGCTCTCCTGGGCATTTTCCAGAGGTGTAAATGTAGAGGATGTGTGTTTTATGGCTGCTTTCTCACCAGAGGAGGGTTGCAAAGACATTGCCAAGTCTCCTGGACACAGCAAGATGCTTCACTCTTCTGACATGGTGCAACAGCAAAAAAGCAAAACAACCTGTTGTAGACATATAAAGAAGCATCAGTGGAGGATGTACCAATGAATTAGAGACAGCACAGATTCTTTTAAAAAGGGTTTATTACTAATTGGGTCTTATTTTCATAGTTTTGGTCTTAACATTGTAGTCAAAATGTTAATTTGCTGTGATCTGGGAAGATGTGCATGCAGTTTTCCTGTGCACTGAGGGTTTATTACTGACAGTTCAGCGGCACTCACTTTTCAGGGCCTATCCTCACGAATACGCGGCCTCACCCAATACAATGTCGTTTCGAAAAAATCTCCGTAAACACAGCGTCGTTTCCAGAAATATCTGCGTCCACACAGATTCATTGAAACGACCCAAAACGCTGTAGTACATATGCCAGGCCTGTATGTGGCGCTGTGACACCGCCACACCAATACACTAAAACCGGAAGGGAACCCATGGAGCATGCGCTGTTTACAAACAAGTAGTAGTAGTCCGCAGTCAGTTTTCGCTGTCCAGACGACTCTGGGCAATCCGGCGTTTTCGGATTTTCCCACTCTGGGACAGGTTTCCAAAAAATACTGTTTTCACACCCCGAAAACGCCGTATCCATCTGGACGCGATACGACAAAGTATTTATCCGGATTCGAGAAAAACGTATTCGTGAGGACAGGCCCTTAGTTTAACCAATGAAGTGGTTTCGATAATCTGGCTAAACCTGTTTTATGATTCTTGACCTGTTGATCCTTCAAAGTTATTGTTTGTATTGTGATTTTTTAAAGGGTTTTTGTGGCAACTAGCGGTAAAGTTGCAGAATGCAACCAACTAAATACTGCTAGCCTTCCAAGTGTGAGGGAGAAAAACTCACAAAAAATGTGAAATGCATTGTTGGTTTGTAATTTCTGGACTACTATGGTGGACTCCGTAAAAGAGGACCCGCTTCCTCTGTAGATTAAACACAGCTCATTCTAACAAAAACACAACAATTCTTATTTTCAGTGGATTATAAACATACCTATAATTCCATTTCTGTTTTGTTTTTTCATCAGTCTTGCGCCTGCCGTAGTTTCTCCTACACACTTGGAAGTCAGCAGTATTTAGTTGGTTGCAATCTGCAAATTTATTCACTAGATGCTACTAAATCCTACACACTGGTCCTTCAAAAGTAGAACAACATAGTTCCAGCCTGTATTGCAAAAAAAGTTGACTATTAGCTGGACAGTAAGACAGCAATGTTCAGAGAGACTTAGTAAGAAAAAACAACCTGAAACTAGGTGTTTAAGTGAGGGGACCATAGGATTTTGAAAAGTGAGGTGGACACCTCGCCCCATCACCAGTAGAAATTACATCCATGCGGTCGTGTGTCAGTTCTGGGGGTCTGAGGAATCCCATTCTGCCTTCTGTCTGTTCTTCACACTCACAACTGTCAGCCTTAATCTCAGCTCCTCATCTGACAGAACAATGATTGATGTGTCCCAATTCAAACAGGCTCCACCACACATGATGGTGCTGCTGTGCGCCAGACATCCCTCTCAGAAACAATTTTATGGTGCTTTGCCTCTAATGGAATTACAGAGGCTGAACCCATCATAACTTTCTGTCAGATGAAGTTTGCAGCCTTGTTCTGCACACGTTTTAAATACTCAGCTTACTTGTTTTTGCCCCGCCAACATGAATGTTTCACCACGTACGCGTTCACGCTTTATACCTCCACTCCCCCGAGGCTTACAAACTGTGGCGGTGGTGGAATCAGTAGTCGGCTCCTTTATTTAAAGGTCCAGGGTAACATTAGGAGGATCTATTGGCAGAACAACCTCCTAAGTCTTTAAATATTGCCGCTCTGCTTCAAAAGATGACGCTGAAGGTATCCCTCTAGCATCATTCTTGGACGCAAAGTCAGGTGATGCAGTTGACTGTAAGCACGGAGTGTCAGGATACAGAGAATGTGGGGTTGATAGATTACTCAAACAAGCACAGGACTTAGTTAACTTATGTAACATGCTTAATTTGTGTACTTAAGTTATGTCAGGTACAAAATGTAACGATCTTTTCCTAAACCTAACCTAAATATGACGTTGTATGTATCCCTGTATAGCTAATTCCTTCTGTCCTTCATTCTGGAAACAAGAAAAGAAGAAAGAAACAAAGAAAGAAACAACGTTTCACATGTTAAATTCCAAAATCCAAAGTCTCCAAAATGGAAAATACCAGAAAGTACCAAAATCTCAAATATTAAATCTGCATTCATTGTTTTTTTGACTATTCAAGGTCAGATGAACACAGCAAACTGAAAAAAAACACAGATTCTAAGATATCACTTTATGACGTTGCTATGGATAATTTAGGCACATCCGGCAAACACATTATTATTGTGTTTGTTTCCACCTTAATTTTCTCTCTCCTTTTTGCTCTGGTTTGGTCTCTACCAACTCCTGAGAAAAATATCATAGCTGCTAAATGCTCCACTTTCCTCACCAGCCAGCCTCTAACTTTTCTGCGGCTGGAAACGAGGTTGATGAGAGCACTGACTGCAGCAGGGCTGTAGCTACCATTGAGGACCCTGAAGTTATGTTCCTGATATTTTGGGTGAAAAAATAAATATATTTAAGTACGGTTACAGCACTTGACAAACAATGATCCACATCTAACCCCTTTGTCTTTCTTCAGGGTGGGTGTTAGGCTCTCGTCGCAACAAGACGGAGATAAACTGCATCACCAACAACATGAACGAGATGAGCGAGCTGGGCGAGAGGCCCCGGCTGGTGGAAATGAGCTACATATCCATGAACCACACTAACTGCCTGAGCTCCAGCAGGCCGGAGGAGATAGTGGTCACCATAGATGAGACGCTGCAGCAGCAGCGACCTCCGGACACTCACTCTGGGACTTAACTGCGACCTCCTGACCTTCCCTGAGAGAAATAAAGCAGCGTATTTGCTTGCATTTCTTGTTCAAGTGGATTTAAAAGTCTTTCATGAATCAAAGCTCTATCCACTGTTTTATCACCTGCAGGTGGGCTGTTAACACCTGTGCAATGTTGGGCCAGAAGGGACTTTGAACTGTCGACCCGGGCTGGAACATTGGAGGCTTCAGATGCTGATGTTTGTATCAGATTGGACTCCTTTCTGCAGAGATGGCTTGAGAGGACGGCTGCAGTTTTATTTTTTTGGACAGGCAGCTGAGAAAAAGGTGTTTTTTTTGTTATTGTACTTCCCCCTTTTTCAAGTGACCCCCTTGTGAAAATACCGCTCTGTTAATGTAGACACTTGCAGTTCACTGTAACCACAAACAGTATGTAACCACTCTAAATACATGATACACGCCGGGCAGTGCTTATTGTAATATTGCTGCTAGCAAGGTTAAACACAAAACAATTACGTCAACATTTTTTATTAATTGTGTGACACTTAAAGTTTTTTGTAATTATTGTAAAGTTTATATCAAGCAGCTCAACTGACACAGGGAGGCTCCAAATGTTAACACCTGCTTCTTTCTTCTGTAATAATGCTGTAATTACTGGTTGCAAAAAAAGTTCACTACACAGTGATAAAAAGTATTTTGTAGTAGTCATGTTATTAGCTTGATGTGAACAAGTGCTAAGTCACCTTTAAGAGCTCTGGTTGCACCTGATTGCAAAAAATATTAAATATAAAAGTTTCAAAGCCATTGCTGTTATGTTAAAAAAAACAGAGTCAAACAGAGTGACTGTCATGCTTTATGATTTCTTGGTATTCTTGGCATCACCTTTGAAGCAAAAAGTGTTCATGGCTTGTTCCTTTTTCTAATGTTTAATATTTCGTGTGACATGGCGTTTGTCAGAGCCTTTGTTTACCTGTATTACCTCACTGTTAAGGGCTACGTACTGCTGCTGATGAGTCTGGGACACCATCTCAAAGCTTCAACCGACGGGGCTTATTTTTCTGTGCATGCTGGGATGCATGCATTTTACTCTGCACACACACCTACTGTACACTGTGTTTTTGGGAAGATATCTACTGAAGTTACTGACGTTTTTGACTATTTCAATGTATGAATAAACATTTTTTACACACTTGCACATATTTGGGGCAAACTAGAGTAAAGCGGGACTTGACTTCAGATGGTAGGGTTCCGATTTTAAGGGCAATATAATAAAAATGGTGTTGTAACTGTGCAGCAGTGATCATTTCCCAGACATTAAATGTAACGGTTCAAAATCTGAACCTGCAAAAAAGCTCATTTTTTTCCCACCGCCTTGATGCCGTCAATAACTGTATTCTTTCAAGTCATCTAATAAATATTCATGAACAAATGTGTTACTGTTAATTACTTGTTCATTATTTTCAAATCCATTACTGATTTTTGACCTCTGGGTATGTGCACATGTCTTCTGTTGCCATGGAAATAACTGTCAGCCTCATACTTAGGTCACGTACTGGCAACTGAGCAATCTCCATGACAAATTAGCAAACTTGATGAATTAATGGATGGAGTTACAAACATTTATATCAGTATTTTTTATTAGTTTTTTTAATCAATCTAGTCAATTCATTAGAAAAACAAAGGATATGGTTGATGATATTCTGACAAAAAACAACAATGTGTCCATCTTTCACTACTTTCACTACCTTCTGAGCCCTTTGGTTCCTACTGAAGACTTTTAAAATGGTTCATATTTAATTCTAATTATAATAAATTTGTTTCATATTTGAAAAATAGGCTCCGTAATGTCCTAAAACAGCTGCTCGCTGTAGATTTATAGAGGAAATTGTGCATTTGTTAGGGACTATTTTTAGGTGGATGAATCCACTTTTGGCGCTCTAGTAAATATTTGGGGCAAAATAACAGTGTGTGTGCTCGTGGTAATGAAGGAACATGTCACCCAGTGCAACAATGTGGGTCATTTATGTGTTTTTAATAGGTTTTAGAAAACAATGGAGCTCTATGGCACAGAGGAGAAAGATATATCAGGATTTGGATACACAGATAATAAAATTTGTTGAGATGTAAGAAAATATCAATGACCATCCTTTGAACTCCTTCAGGCTTCTTCCCTATTGCTCGTGCACCTTCATCGATATAATACATTAGATTTATTTAAACCTTTTAATCAATGGGCACAATTTTGTAGTCATTTTCTTCACTTTAATTAAAATTCACAGTATCAGTGAAGGGCAGTCTGAAATGTCTATGTAAGGTCAAAGAGACAACAGAATAAAAATGTTATTTCAGAGGTGTCCTCCTGAATAGCTTAAGCATTAAAATAACATTTCTTTATGTCACAGAAGTGAGGTGAAAACCACTGATGCACAGCTTGGAACTTTTAGTATAAAACTACAAAATATATATGGATAGAAGTGGTGTAACATGACCTTGAGGATGCATGCTGCAGTATGTTTTTCCTTTATCCACCCCTCCCTCAACAACTTCCAGTCTCAGAGGTTCTTCAAGCGGTGACCAACTGCTGTGAGGATGCAATGGAAATACTAATGAGCACGGCACACGGCTCTCACGTGTAATGTGATATCAACGGGGAAAGGACATCTGTGTCATGAAATTCTACTTACTGCTCCAAAACATCTTGAGCCGACGCTGGTGGGAGTCCACTGATATGCTGGTGGTGTACTGTTGGTCTTTTAGAAGACTGAAATATATCACGGATTGCTGTGAAATTTGGTACAGATATCCATGGTGCCCAGAGGATGAAACATACTAACTTGGTGATCCCTTGACTTTTCCTCTAGCATGTCAGTTGTGTTTTTTAGTGAAATATCTCTGCCACCATTGGATGAATTCAAATGAAATTTGGAACAAACATTAGTGTCCTCTTCAGGATGAATATCCTGAGTTTGGTGAGCCTTAGACTTTTCATATTTTCCATCATCAGGTCTGTTTAATTTGTCCAATACTTCACTTTAGCATGCTAACATGCTAAACTAAGATAGTAAACAAGGGAAACATTAAACCTGCTAAAAATCATTGTGCTAGCATTATCATCATCTTTCGAGTGCATACAATTCGTGTTTCGATACTTTTTGCATAATATGGCGAATATATTATCCTGCCCAACAAAAGTAAATGAAAAGATTTTTTTCTAAACGATTTTGTGTGTTCATTTTTGTCCATAATGTCTGCTGTAGTACAGCCTCACAGAGTCACCAGCATGACTGTAGACTCTCAGTTTAGTCGAGGACAACACGAGGCAATTGGATCTGGTAACTGTATTTTCTGAAAGACACGATTTATCACTTGGCAGCCTTTGAAACAAACACTTAAAACTGTAATAATTAGGATCAGATTCTGACAGAGCCCTTCAGGAAAATCAGCTTCTCTGTAGTGATTTCAACAGATTCACTCACCACTACATCATCTAAATGAGCAAACAGGATAAAAATGCCTCCTGCATAGAGGAGAGTGTCTCTCGAAGATGTATTTAATTTGACAGCACACACATCACCACCAACCCTAATCTAAATTTTTCATCACCTTAAAGTTCCTTCAGCGTTTCTGCTCTTTTATTCTGAGGACAAACTCCAGCGAGTTACCCACACCTCAGAGCGTGGTTGTTACCTGTCAGCTTCTTCTTCCGTTAAAGAGGTGCGTGACACAGGAGCTAATGAAAGAGCAGCAAGGATTGCCAGCGACCCTGCCCACCCAGGTAACCATCTGTTCCAAAAAACCTTCCCCCCCGCTCGCTCAGTGGGACCTCCTGTCACCTGAGCAGCTTCGTCCCAAGAGCTGTCACCTTGCTTGACTAGTCCTGCTTCTCACTGAGTGCCTCCAGCCTCCACGATCACCAGACAGGACCTCAGCATCCAACAGGCTCCTCTGTATGCTTAATGTGAGCATCATCCAGTCAGTTTATTACACCTGAGCAATGATCACCACAGTCTTGTGTAGAGATTTGTATTTGCTTCATCTGACTCTTACAACTCTTTCAACTACAAGTTTATGACCCTAATATTGTGGCTGTTTCCCTCCAATTGGTTGTTTTTTCAGTGGTTTTCTTCGGATAACATACTAGTCATAACTTTTTATCCCTAGAGATTCAAACCATAAATTATAAAATATTAGGATAATATGATGAATTTTACAAAAAGTTATTGAAAGATACTGCATCACTGTGTGACACCGATAAAGTAAATCTTACAAGACAGTTAGTTCAGTATTTTTGAGAACTACACTTTCTTTAGAGAGCAGTTAAGTGAGAAACTAAGTGAGAAGAAGAATATCAACCTCATGTCTGGAAACAGGGGGAAACAACTCGCCTGGCTCGGTCCAGAGTTGAAAAATACACGTACCAACACCCCCAATACTCACTAATTAACCTGTTGTATCCTGTTCATTTAATTGGCACACAAACAGGAACCAGCAGCAGCAAAGCCCACAGATGATACAATTTGGAGGAAATTGGTTTTAAAAAATAGTCATTAAATATAATCATCATTATCACAAGGTTAAAATTATCTAAATAATATCCAAATAGTCTGTCTGACAGTCTAATGAAGTTTTGGAAAATCCAACAGAGGCTACATGAGCCAGTGACCAGAGGGGTAGTGCTCGTCATTCACCCCCCACTGGAATAAATGACGTTCGCTCTCTGTTTATGTGGGAAGTCGTGCATAAGGCGTGCGTTTGGAGACATTTGTGGGATGTTAAAAATATCAAGTTTTGGGCCACTGAGAGAAAGCTGCTTACAAATAAAAGTCAAACCAAGAATTTGTTAGTGATGTTGATGAATTTTTGACGCGGTCAGAAATAACGCCATCTTTTGGGGCTACAACAATGCATAAGAAATGTGTAAAATGTCAGTTGAAATGAATTGTATGTTGCCTTGACTGTGCTTTTCTGATGTATACTGTTGTTTATAATATACATTTTGGAACTATATACACTAAATTGTAAAAGAAATGTGTAATTCTTCATCCCTTTTAGCCTCATAAAATGTTCATTATTCTCACTTGACTTTGTGGAGAGCTTTAACTAAACAGAGACATTTTTCACTGTGACAGCAGGTCCTCCTCATTGTTTGTGCTGAAAGAGAGCAAAGCACGCTCAATTATTGATTGTGTGAAAATGTCACGCACTTTCACAGCGGGGCAGTGTGTCAGTGTGAGCACCAAAAAGTCGGATTCCACAAACTCTCTAAATTTAAATGAGGTAAATGTCATAACTTTGCTTGATATTGATTTTCGTCGCAGGATAAAGGTTTACACGAGCGAGCTTCCTCGTGGTAGTTGCTGCAGTTTCAGTCTGTGACCTCCAGAGCAAACATCAAACTGAGTGTAAAAGGTTAATTCTGCCGAGGGAAGTTTGTTGTTCTGTTTAAAGGACAAAGGAAACTCATAAGTTAAAGACATTTATTACAACATATACAAATAGTCTGCTTGGAACAATAATGTGTGTCTGATATGTTTTGTTTCTGCAAAAAAAGTATCAGGAAAAAGGTGCCTAAAATTACAGAATCTATGAATATGTTAATTTTTCTAATTTCTTAAGTTTTCCTGCTGGATAAAAGATGTCTCCGACTTTACTATAAAGTCCATTCTCAGTGTCTGTGCACTGGTGTGTAACACATATTCAAATCAGATGTTCAGTGAGCTCAGAGAAACTTTCCACTTTCAGAAATGCTGACTTTTGAGCGGAGGGGGACTATTAAATTAACTTTATACATGAGTCAAGCTAGTCCTGATAAATTAGTCTCCTGATAAATTAGTGTTTTAATTAGTGTTTGCAGCCCATTAACGTTCCTAACTTTCCTTTACTAACATTTCAAACATGTTGGAACAATATTCAAAGTGTGCATCAAGGTGTTTAAACATGGCAACACCCTGTTATGTTTACTGGGTTGTAGAAAGGGTAAAAGTGCCCTCAAGTGGTCAAACAACAGAATACATGCAGGCAGGCAGTTGATGTCAGAAAATGTGCAATAAAAGCAGTTCATTTGATTGATTAGCAAATGGATTTTGGACATTTTTTAAGTTGTTGTTTCTGTGTTTTCTCTTGCAAATGTGTCTGTCAGCAGCAAACTCTTTTTTCCATTTCCTTGACACTTATCTGTCTCTTTACGCAGTTACTGTAATAGAGGTATTTTTCATTCATATTATTTTATTCCATTTCATTCTAAAAGGTAGGTAAATTTTATTATGTTATTTAAATATTGTACTCCACTACATTTATCTGACAACTGTAACTGGGTACTTTGCAGATAAAGATTTCACATACAAAACATGATCGGTTTACAAAATATGACACATTTTTATAGATTAAAATGAACAAAATCCCTAAACTAAGCCCTAAACAACCACATACAGGACTCAAATCTGCTTACTTTTTAATCCATTAATCCAGTAATAATGATTCCATATTGTGGTGAATGACTCTCAATCTGAATGAGAATTTATTTTTTAATAATAGTACTTTAACACCAAAAACAAACAATACTTTCTTTATTTAAGGAATTCATTTGAATGCAGGACTTTTACTTCCTGAGTTTCATATGTTCTCAACTCCATGCACGAGTATTTGAAGTCATCAGACGATGCAGACGTTGATAAAAACTAAAATTATAAGAATATAAAATCTTGCTGTCATCTTTCTCTGAAGAAATTCAGTTCTTATTTCTTCTCCATCTTCAGCTGAAATCCAGTTGCCAACTCATCCACAACCCACTGCTAATTAACCTCCTCATACAGGACCTCTGTCCCAACAAAATCCCTGTCGGTGAGTGGTCTTAGTTCAAGGTTGCAGCCAAAGAGTTTAATGGTGGAAGGCTTCACATCCGAGCTGACCAGCTGCCTGCGTGGACAGAGTCGTGGATTTCTGGGGAGGAGCTCTAATTAAGTGGTTGGCCAGGGACCAGGACAGGAGGACCCGCCATATGGAGACGTGGCCAGACAAATTGAGAAGCACCAACCTCTGTCAGACAGCAACAATGTACAGAAGGACTCAATGAGGTCAGGTCATTTCAGTATGTCCACACCACCCTGAAAACAATCCCGTTTTGTCCAAACTCATGGAACTAAAATTGGATCAGGATGAATTAGGAGACAAGAATGCTGCGTACGTTTGGTAAAAGTGGCTGAGATTGTTCGTAACTACGGCCAAGTGGGTGAAAACGGTGACATTGTGAGGAAGGAAACAGGCGAGAGTTATAACAATCATCAGCTACTGAGGGATAAATCATGAAAAATATGTGAGATTTTGGGGCAATCCAGGAAGGGAGTTTTTTTTAATGGCCTTGAGAAACCAGATCAGAGTGATTAAGGAGCTCTCCTTTCACTAAGGAGCATTATGAAGGTTGCTGACTAAGCACAAAACTAATTCAAGCATCATTTAGCAAATTATCTGAGACAGGGAGACAGATTTATAACAAAGATAGCAATCACTTACAAACTTGTGTCACTACTTAAAGGTCCAGTATGTAACATTAGAAGGATCTATTGGCAGATATGGGAGATAATAATAACAGGTATGTTTTCATTAGTGTATTATAATAAGAATAGTTGTGTTCTTGTTACCTGTTTTTATCTACAGAGGGAGCGGGTCCAGACAAACCATAGTTTCTCTTATACACTTCACAGCCTGTTCTCATTCCCAGGTTGTCAAATACAGTCTGCAACTTCACCTCTAGATGCCACTAAATCCTACACCCTGGTCCCTTAAAGCAATACAGTATTGACTTATTGTATGATATATGTATATACGATAATCACCTTTCACAATATCAACTAAACATTTAAGTTGGCCAACTTGATACCATCATTACTTGTTGGAATGAATGACCCTGTACCTCTGTGCCAAATGTTTAATATTCATTTAAATGTTATTTCTCTTACTGGAGCCAAAGAGTCCATTTTATTTGTTGTTTTGGTTGTGTGGTTGTATTTATCTATTGTCTGAATATTATTAAGAATTTAAAGTTTGTTGCTCAAGGGTGCACTTGCATTACATACATATTATTATTGTTATATCGGTGGCATTAAACCTTTATTTTTGGGACAATATATCAACCATATTGTACACAGTTGTATCTGTAGACAGCTGAGAAAGTGAAAATACTTAAGAATCATGTCCTAAACAGGATCCAGGTTGCACTGGTCTCAGTTTGCATGAGAGCGATACTGGCTATTATGAACCAGTGTGACAGATGCACTGTAAGATATTGCATATGTGCAGTGCAACACAAGCTCAAGAGGGCCCAGTAAGTTCTGGGCTCATACATTTAAAGTTAGGAAGATCACTGCAACCTAATCTTGAGAATAAACTTCTTATTATAGGGAAATTTATACTGAGAAGTGTCACATCTTTGCAGTAGTCTACATGCAGAGCGTTTCCCTGCAACCATGATTAAAACTGGACTGGGACCAACACACTAACTGGAAAATGCAAAAGTAATTCCTAACAAATAAAAATAACCCCACAGGACTCCGTAGAAAATAAAGTAAAAATGAAGTTATAACCATGTTTATTGATGTTTTTGGGGCCCTCGGAGAAGGCGGAGCTACTACAATCTCCTCGGAGCCCACACACAAGCCACAGCCCTGACGTTGCCGTAGCAACTGCCCGCGGCTTGTAATTGGTCAGACCGGGCTGTCGTTCGGTCTTAATCCTCCTCTCTGATTTGCTACATCTACTGTCAGTCTCACAGGCTGCGACGTGATTGGCTGGCTCCTACGTTCGCGTCCCGCCTCTGTGGATAAGCTCTCGCAGCTGCACGGTGAGGCGAGCGGAGGAGGTGCTATCGTAACGCAATGAGTGAAGGAGTAAAGGAGCTGGGGCTGTTTTGAGGAGTAAAAAGTTGTTCTTTTTAATATCCTGTCGGCTGGCTCTTGGGGGGGGGGTTTGTGTTAACGCGGAGTTACAGAAAGTTTGGGAGAAATGTAGGCTACTTTTTTAGGTCGCTTGTGTCGTTTGCTTCACGATGGAGGAACCTGCGACAAGGCAAGTGGTAAAACCGCGACTCGTTAACGTTAGCTTCAAGTTTTTAGTTAAAATATTGTTGGCATGAAAAAGCTGTTTATTCAGTTTACCTTCACAAGGCTGAGAGCTGTGGTTTAAAGTGCACTGTGATGTGTGGGAAGTGTGTCTAAATAAGGACACTTTTGAGTAAGTAAAAATAAAAATGTTGATATGTGCACAGGGAGTTTGAGATGTCCCTGTCAGACGGTGCCTCGGACGACGATTTACCCTTAACGTTACCCACAGAGGGCAGCCAGAGTGGGAGCATCCGGAAGGTGAGACACATACATACATATAAACACACTAAATGCATGCACACCTGAGGAGAGGGGGGGTCTCCATAAAGCCAAGCTTAAGTTACCTGCAGATCTACATTGTGCACAAGAATGACTCCTGTTACTGTTGCTCCATAGACAGATGATGAGATTGCATTAAACAAAACAAGATGTATTTCCACATGGGGATCGTTAGGTGTAGCCCTAATAAAAAGAGGTCTGGGTATATTGGGGGTGCAAATCAGCAACACCAAATAATAAAAGTATCACGGTCTCAAAAACCACTTCATTATTATCTCCCGCGTACCTCTGGTGGTATCTCATGCAGATATTATCTGTTGTATTTGAGTTCTGAGATGGAGACACAGTGGAGTTTAATGAAAGGTACATTTGCAGCAAAGAAATGCATCGCCTGCATCCTTTGGACAATCCTCAGACCTCGCTGTTTTCGTAGAGAGTATTTCATCAGTAGAAAATAGCTCCAATGAAACATGTTGACGGTGAAGTTTGTGGATTGTATGTCAGATAATTTGACATTGTACTGCTGAAATGACTGTCACTTACACTTACTTAAATTGTCTGTACGGCTGAATACCAGTAGGAGTTTCTATTCCTGTGAACTGACCCTTTAAAAAACCTTAAGATACTGTGGGTATGTTGGAAAGATAAAACCTGCTTTGCATCATTTGTACTGCCACTGATATCATATCATGCACAGTATACAGTATATCAGGCAATATGGCCACCGTTAATATCTTATATTACTTATCAGCTGGTAAAGGTTCTGGTTTTATTCCTAGCTTGAATTGGGGGGGAAACGTGGATGGAGAAGACATGGTGCCCTGTTATTGAAGCCGCAGTTGATGTCTGTGCTGCTGACAAACGAGACATGTGCTCAGAGAAAGTCACCTGGACATCGAAGGCTTTTAGACTTTATCTGCACAGATGTCGAGGTGCCTCCATCCTCCCGCTCCCCCGGTGGTAGAGCAGAGGTGGGAGCTCGGCCAGAAGTCTAATCCACACAGGCACTCCGAGGATTACTTGACGTGAGCATGCTAAACAAACACCTTAACTGGGTGAGAGGGAACGAGAGAGAGATACAGGGGGAGAAAGAGTGTGAGAAAATGAGAAACCGTACCGTAAAGTTGGCTGCGAGAGGGATAGAGAAGGTTGATGGAAGGAGCAACAGGGATAAGGAAAGGGAGTAAAGCAGCGTGTTTACAGTACAGCTGCTCCATCTGTCATGTTACTGTACATCTGTTTACCGTTTTAAGTGTGAAACAGTGGTTGCATTGTACGATAGATTGCTGGTTTTAGTGAGCAGACGTTCAGCAATCAGCTGTGGAGAAGCTGCTTCTGGTGTGGTTGGCAAAATGCCCGCTGGAGCGAGATTTAAGAGGCCTTTAAATCTTCAGAGCTCTGACATATTACCAGATCCTTTTTCTATTAAACATATTCTCCTTCTGAGGAGAGGGATCTCCTCCTGCTCCACCGTGCCAGGTTATTACCATGTTTAGCATCCATACGGCTCCCTCGTCCTGAGCTCTCAGTTTCCCCACGTCTCCGACACGCCCTTTGACACACCCATCATCTCCGGCATACAGCTGTCCTATCCAACATGGACTTGTTGCTCTGAGGTAAACCTTTCTGGCCATGCTGTACTATAGTGTACTCTAGGTTAAGTTAAAGTTGGGGTTAAGGCCGTGTGAAATCTACCAGAAAGGCCCTTTTTTATCTCTGTTTATGTACTTAATGTTTGGCAGCAGAACAACAGTCTCCACATCACCTAGTAAGATGATGAACTGCATAGTATTTGCATGAATATAAGACAGTGCTTTGGAAATTACCCTTCAAAAATGTGTGTGCTAGTCTCACACATTCTCCATCTAATCTCTGCTGTCAAACAATTGATCGTATCCTAATTGTTGCTGTTGCTCTGTCTCTTAGGCTTGATGCTGGTTGGTTGATTAATACACTAATCATATAGAGGTTAATCCTGGTTCTTTATTGTAATGCAAGCAGTTTAACAACACATTAAGAATTTACCACTAGTTGTCTTATATTGGGTCACTGAGATAGTTCTTACTGAGCAGATACAGCTCACTTTAATGACATTCACTGAGTCACACAGCAGTTGGTGTAGAAACAGACGTCACGCTGCTGTAATTCATTCATTCATTTCGCTGTGTTTTCTCTGCAGGGATGTGATCCTTTTGCCCAGACTCAGCGCAGTAAACTGCAGCACCGGCGAGCTCGCATCAACCAGCAGATCAACAAGGAGATGCGCATGAGAGCCGGAGCGGAGAACCTGTTCAGGTGAGGTGCTGGATGGGTCTCTATGCGGCTCTGATGATCCTTTTACACACAGGTGTTAGGTGTGAAAATGTTGACATTGCCCAGCCTTAATGTCTTTGTAGTTTCATCTGTTGAGGGAGTTTTCCTGCATGGACCATGTTGAAAATAAGGTGCATCACTACATTACTCTACCAGTCTCAAGACACTGTCACCTGATTAATTAGGAGAAGTGAAATTATGTCGATAATAAGTGAAAATCTGCATTGGTGTTGGCACGTGTTTCTTACCTGTTCCTGAACAAGGGTAACACATTATTAAGATATGTGTCAAGTGTTTGACTCTTTTTTCAGTTGTTTCAAAGTAGAGCTGCAACAATTAGTCGATGTATCGATTAGTTGTCAACAATTAAATTAATAAGCAACTATTTTGATAATCGATTTAATTGTTTTGACTCATTTATAGGAAAAATGTTCTCTGATTTCAGAGTCCTCTATATCAGTAAACTGAATATGTTTGGGTTGTGGATGAAACAAGACATTTGAGGATGTCACCCTGAACTTTGGTTAACTGTGATCAACATTTTTCACCATTTTATGGACCAAACAACAAATTGAACAATTGAGAAAATGATCGCCAGATTAATCAATGATGAAACTAATCATGTTTAGCGTTGTAGTAAGGTTGACCCGTTGTTCATTTTGATTTAAAAGGACAAACTTTCTCCTCGATCAGTTTTTCCTCTCGATGTTTTAATGCTATTCTGGTCCCCTCCGTGCTGCTTGCTCTTTGTCAGCTCTGTCACGTTAGTGGTGGTGTCCTGTGATGGGAAAAGGTCAGAGATCACTCTCCTCCAAAACACACACACACCAGCACCACCCAGTTTTATGGCTCTGTTTGTGTTCACTGTGTGTTTATGTGTCTTTCTGCCTGTGTGTCTCCTCTTCCTTTTTTCCTGTTAATATGTTTTTGTACCAAACGATACTTGACCACTGCTTAACTTTTACAGCACCAGTGAGGCTAATCACCCAACTGAACTGTGCTGGCTTCGTGTTTTGAAGCAGCTCGCTGTCATTCACACAGCACACAAGAGTTTTATTGGTGAAGAAATGAGGGAAATAAAAAACGACACGGTGGCAGAACATCAAAGTATTCTCTCTGAGAACATTAGCGTCATCTTGATCCCCTCCAGCTTCTCTTCATCTCTATGTGCCTTTGCGTGCTCCTTCTTTCTTTCTCCTTAACTATTTCTCAGGCTTTGGTGGATTGCTACAGAGGCTTGAAGTATACATTTAATATATGTGCATACATTTTGTTGTGGTAGTTTTGAGAACATTTGCAACATGAATAGCTCACTGTGCAAAACTCTCTGAAAACACACTGCTGCCACTACTTTACTCATTAAGACTAAAGTTGGGAGTAGGAAGAGGAGGAGGAGGAGCCACTTCATTAAAGCAAGCAGCTACTCTCTGCCTCCTTAGTGGTGCTGTGTCAGAATCTAATTAGATCAACACAGAAAACAACAGTGGCTTTAATTAAAAGACAACCAAGGACACTCCTCGCTGTTCTGCCAGGACTGGTTGGCTGCAGCTAATTAAGTTTCACAAAGATCTTTGGTGTACTTATAATTATTTTCATTATTGTTTGATTCATTTACAGGAACAGGAAAATGCCTCCAAACACTAGTCCAAGTTCACATCTTCAGATCGGTTGTTTCGGTCCTATATCGTCTTTCATTTATCAGTGAAATGACAGAAACTACTTTTTTGATAATTGATTTGACATTTTTCAAGCAAAAAACCCCAAAACATTACCTTGTTCTAGCTTTTTAAATGTGCTAATTTACTGCTTTTCTTTGTGTTATGTGACAGTAAACTGGACCGTTCTTTAGATTCTTTCAATTCACTAAAGTTTTTCAGGAAACTTGACGTGCCTTTGAAAAACAACCCAGTTTTATCAGCGTTACTCTCAAACTGCATAATACAGTTTATAATACATAATACTCTTAATGCCAACTACACAAATGATGAACTAATAATTCAAAATAAAAAAAAATCAATCAATTATCAAAGTTGTCAGTTAATGTTTAATTAATGTGGTAAATCAACTAATTGTATCAGCACTAATCTGAAGATTGGACTGATTCTTTAACAAGTAGTGATTTTTCTTTTTTCTCCCCCACTCCATTTCTGACTGGATTCAGGCTGTTATCCTAAAAGGTGATGACTCAGTTTAGGGGAAATAAAACAAGCGCTCCTGCCCTTTCTATTTGGACGATGGGTCACAGAGACAAAGAGGACCCCCACACAGCCTGCCGGCCTGTAATCAGCCGGCTTTGTGTCCGCCTCCTGTCCTGTTCCCATGCAGAGATTCCCAACAGAGCCCCAGCAAGCTCATCCCCCACTTATTTGTCTGGCACAGTCAGACCTTTTTTTTGTCTGTCCTCCCCTTTTCCGGTCAGCTGGAATTGTCCACACATGCACACAAAGCTTCTCGCTTTCGCTTTCACTCCCTCTGAAACAGTTGTGGAACTGGGTCGTATGAGTTGAGGAGGGGGGTTAAGATGCTAATTACGGATGAAAGAGGGGTTGTAACTCATCAGGGTTTGTGATTGGCTGATGACGGCATGTTTTGTTGCAGGGTGGTTCTCTCTGTGGAAATTCAGCTGAGGGGAACAAACTAGTTAAATCATGTCAGTTAGTACAGCACTGAAATATGATGAGTTACTGGAACAACTTGTTTCCAGCTTTTCCAGACACTTCGTGTCTTTCAGTCAGTGCGTACACTCAGAGTCAGAAAGAGTTGTTTTTCTCTCAAAAGCTGCAGTATGGTGTGCGTGCAAGTGGGTGTGTGAGAGAAGGGGATATTTGGCAGCCCGTTTAAAGCTGACTAATCAGATTGTCCTTGGCTTGATCCTAGATATAGGTGTGTGTGTGTGTGTGTGTGTGTGTGTGTGTGTGTGTGTGTGTGTGTGTGTGTGTGTGTGGGGGTGTGTGTGTGTGTGTGTGTGTGTGAGAGAGACTGAGGGAGGGAGGGAGTGACAGATGAAGAGAGAAGTGAAGGTAAAGTGGTCTAACTGGACAGATTAACATTATGTACAGGAGCTGAAAGGTGAGCTTTAGCTGCGTTTTTCAGCCGAGCTTGGGCATGTGTTAGAGAGTACCAACTCTCAGTTTCTCCTGGTTGTCACGACAAAAGCAAACGGTAGCAAAAGTTTAATCTAAATGCCATCGAATGGGTGATGACCGAAATTTAAAACACTAGTATATTCACATAGGTTGTCTACCTTTATGTCAGTTGAGTATTGGGCAAAAATCAATTTAATTAATTTAAAATGACACGCATTTCATTGTAATAAATTTGAACAAATAATTTCAAAACACATAGTACAACTGTAGGACACCACACTGGAAAACATAATGTAAAGACTATACGAAAAGATCAGACACTGGCTCACACCACACCAATGTCCTTGCACGTAAATCTTGCTATTTTATTGCTGATAGCATTTTTACAAACTCCTGCTGTAGCTGAGTGTGTGAATAGTAGCAGTCAGACGTAGTTGTACACTTGATGTTGCTCTGCTTCCCAAAATGTCAAATATTTGAGTCTTGAAATATAAGAAAAGTGCAAAAGTTAAACAAAAGGGAAAAGACACTGTAGTACAATAAACAAGTATTAAATTCAATTACGAAATAAAAAAAGGCAATAACTGTAAACATCTAACACATGCTCACACGCACACACTCACACGCGCGCACACACACACACACACCTACACACACACACACACTCGGTAATCCCTTTAGCTTTCACGTTGTCTGCCTGGAGTTTACCTTGTTTCTGGAATGACTCCAGAAGTGATTCCTGACCGCTCGCCTAAAATCCTTGTGCTGTTTCGTGTGGTGCTTTTTTTAAATGTTTGATTGCGTTCGTGGTGTTGTACGATGCAAGGGAGCTTCTGCATCTCTGAATTACTGCTTTGCAAACATTGCATTTTGCTGTCTTGCTCTGCGGTGTTTCCAGTGTAAAGTATTTCCACACAGCGGACATGTTGGCTAGCCACAATGCTGCTCAATGCTATCCAGCTAGCTGGCTGCTCACTGTGGAATGGATTTCCTGAGCGGGGGCGTGTCTCATAACTCTGTGTCTCATTGAGCCGCGCCTCCGTTCAGGAAATCCATTCCACAGTTTGCAGCCAGCTAGCAGACTGGCCGACAGGAATCACCTGTGGAGCAGACAACGTTAAAGCGCAGACATGGCTCATGGATATCGGAAATCTGCGCAGGTTGGATCGGGAAATTCCGATACGTGAATTACGCTGGTATCGGTCCCGATACCGGGGATCGGATCGGCCCCATCCCTAGTGGAGTGTCTTCAGCTGGATCACAAAGCGGTCTGTTGTACTAGACTGTAAGTTTTGAATTCGATCAGGTCATTACACTTTGAAAAGTGACCATGTTCAAACAAATGTCAAAAACTTAGGATGCATCCAGGTCTTAGGATGCAAATCCAGTTGACAGGAAGCTTGACAAGCCTGGCATTTTGGTGAAAGGCAAAGGTCTTGTGAAGAAGACGCCGGATAAGTGTACATATTCACCGTCAGCACACTGAGGGAAGTGTTGACCCAAAACACAACCACACTTTCCCAAATCTATGAATTTGTCATTGACAGCTCATGTGTGTCTTTCCTCCCCAAATATTCCACGTGGTGATGCATCTAATGACTCATCCAGTACCAAGACTTCAATCTTTCTTTTTATTAGATAAAACTAAGCTCTGAAATAAAGCAAACGGTCTATCAGTGTTCCCCATATATAGACTTTATTCAGGCTGCTTTGTGTCTCTTTATCTGTATGTATTATTCATCCCCCTCTGGAAAGTGTAGGTTTACTGAACAATCTGCCAAAATGATGCATTAATGTGCAAAATATCACGTATCTTTGTAAAATTCAGTGCCGTTTTGCATCCCTCTTCTTGCCAGCGCTCAACCGGAGTCTGTTAATCACGGTTTCTTGTCATCTTGTACAACTTTGAATTTAATGATTGCATAATAAGGGGGATTTCCTGGGCCACGTTTCAAACAAAGTGTATATCATCAGTTACCACGGAAACCCAGTGCTGCCTCAGATTTCCAGGAACATTGTGTCTCATCGACCTCAGACCCCCACAGCAGTGTGACCTGGCTTTACTCAGCACTGAGACCCGCCCCCTGTGAATGAACAGAGCTGGTGGAGGAGAGGGTGGAGAGATGAATAGTTGCATAAATTAAAGGTTCACTGCGTTTATGGCGTCTCGCTTACACCCATGAATGCAGACTTACACCTGTAAGGCAGTTTTCAAGGTGGATTGTGTTTTTTTGTGATGCTAAGCAAAAAGGACACCCAGTAACACAACGTCCTCTGATATGTACCACTGTCTGCTTACACTGGTGGCTAACTTGTTGTCTTTGTATGGGTGGGTAAAGGCATGGCCCTACTATATGAATGTCAGATTTGTTTTGTTTTAGTCAGATCTCCGTGATTTTCACTCTCAAACGTCAAGGATCAGTAACACGAGCAATAGGCGATGGATAACTGGTTATTCAGTTACAGTATACATCATAAAGCATCAAAAGAAAGAAATGATTAAATGATATAGTTGCCTCACACCGGCTGAATAAGACTACGTTTAATTGCCTTGTTAACACATTGTAAAAAACTAATCAAACTCAACATGAACTCCCTAAAACTGTCTCTGTAAGTCTCTCCACTCTGGTTTGGTCGTATTAAATCTTTAGGTTTTTAGGTTCTTTATGGTGGTGTGGAGACTTTAAGGGGTGGCAGATATATATGCTGATTTAATTACGACCACAAACATCAATATTTGCTTTGAAAAGCCCAGAGGTTAAGATATTTTAACTTAAAAAATTACATTACTGTGACAAATGAAGAAAGCATTGAATATAAATATCTAAAGTTGGTGTTAGAAATCTAGTTGTTTAGTCCAAAGTGTAGCCATAACAGATCATTACATTCATTTTAATTTTTTAAAACATTATTGTTTAAATATATCTGTTAAATCTGACAGCATTGGACACCAAACTGGGGAGACAAGACCCTCTTGATCCACCAGCTCTCTTTTCCCCATGTCACATTGGAAATGGGAGTCTGTTATATGTTGGTGTTGATGAAGGCTGAGGTCTGATGTGTGTGTGTGTGTGTGTGTGTGTGTGTGTTTTATAATTTCTGCAGGGCAACAAGCAACAACAAGGTGAAGGAGACGGTGGCTCTGGAGCTCAGCTTTGTCAACTCCAACCTGCAGCTGCTCAAAGAGGAGCTGGAGGAGCTCAATAGCAACATGGAGGTCTACCAGACAGACAGGTACACGCGCACACACACACACACACACACACACACACACACACACACACACACACACACACAATCTTGGCCCATTTATTATTTGTTCCACGAATTCCAGGTCACTCATTAGTCTAATGAGAATCCTAATTGGTGAAAACACTGTGTATTCACACTGTGTGTAAGTGCTGTTATATAGTCTTTGTGGGGACTAATTCATGTTTTAGAAGAGGGTTAAGACTGAGTTTAAGTTAGAGTTAGGTTTCAGTTAAGGTTATGATGAGGGGGATTATATCAATGTGGGTCCTCATAAGTATAGAAGTACAAGTGTGTGTGTCTGTGTGCGAGATGGAGATTTTTCCCTCTGCAGCCGCGGGTCATGGGAGGGATAAATCCCCTGATTAGAGTGTCATTAAAGACCCCATGGTGTGTGTGTGTGTTCATGTTCATTGTGAATCGGGAGTCTGACTGTGGGGGGGGGGTCGGGGCTGTAAGGGTTAATACTAGGCTTTAGCCTATTAGCAGGATGAAGCACTGAGCAGTGAGCCTGCTGGGTTTGAAGACAAGCAGATGGCAGAGCTGACCTGACTGCCACTCTGTGTGTTGGTGTGTTACATAGTGTAACCTGTGAAAGATTACACACACACTCATACTGTTTTTATTTCTTTTCCCAGCGAGGCTGTTAACGTTCCCATGATCCCGCTCGGATTAAAAGAAACCAAAGAGGTGGACTTCACAGTTTCTATCCAGGTGAAGCCTCGAACAAGCCAAACACACTCAAACAAACTCAGTCGAGCCACTCACTCACCAAACTGTGGCTTTATTGTAGAGTAGTCTGGCTTATTGACGTGTTATTTGCTAAAGCAGTGGTTATACCTCATGAGGAGGAGCCTCTCAAATTGTTTGTCTCCTCGGAGTCAGCATGGAGTCAAGACTTCCCAGGCTGAAGAGCCTCTCCACAGGTGCACTAGACGGCTATTGGACGATATTGTAGGGAAACAGTTCAGGATCTCCATCTCTAATCCCGACTTCAAATATCCAGTGACGTCAGAGTTTAAGGAATCCTCCTTGTCGAAAGCAAAGGAGTCACTCAGGCGATCGTTGTTTTCTATCCACCCTATATGCAGATAATTAAAGAACTTATGTAAAGCCAGTAACAACATAATTGTTTGATTAGTAACTGTAAAGTGATTAATGAATTTAGGAACAATATGTAATGTGTTACAAACAAATGTAAATTGCATTTTATCTTAAATTTGACGACTGTGTCAAAGGTGAATTTTTCGTCCTACAAACATGCTGGAGTTTAAACTGATGTGAAAATAAAGAAGAAGCCAGTGATTTAAAGTGATTCTAACAAACCCAATAGTTGATATATTACATGGGTAAAGTCTGGTCAAACAACAAACCATTTTTCTCTGATTGTTTATTTAAATATTACAGAGTACTTGACCTGCCAAACAGATTTGTTATTATGTGGCTGTCTGTCTCCCCTCACAGGACTTCATCTGTGAGCACTACGGAGAGGACAGCTCTCTCTACGACAAGGAGATCAAGGAGCTTATGGAGCTCAGACAGGTTAATAAATGCACTTATACAACTTCATACAAAACAAAGCTTGGTGTAGTTCGGTATTAAATCTGTTTTTCATTAAGGGGGTTGTTGAAACTGGAACTGGAGAATAAACAAAGAATAAAAAAGTGATCTGTCTGTACATTTATGTGTGTTGTTGTTGTTTGGGCCAGGCCATGCGTACACCCAGTCGTAACCAGGCCGGTCTGGAGCTACTGATGGAGTACTACAACCAGATGTACTACCTGGACCAGCGCTTCTTCCCCCTACACAGGAACCTGGGCGTACACTTCCACTGGTAGGACTTGAGCTCTTGTTAACGTAAAAGCCTGGAAGTACTGACCCCTGGTTTGTCACGAGAGACAATGACAAGATATTCCTCACTTTAATTAGACAGTTGTATTCTGTGAAGCACTCTGATGGACTTTCTATAGAGCTAGTGTTACTTAAGCAGTTAACAGCTCTGTGATTGGCCTGCTTAAATATCATCTCTGCTCTGCCGGGCCTGCAGCCAGCCTTACTTCCTGTTTGTTTGCGGTAATTCAGGGTGGCGCAACAGTCCGGTATTTGGTATTACCGCCACTTTTGTTGTTTTTGAACTTAGGGATTTTGTAAGGGGTACAACGGGATAATGTTTCATCTCAGTACCTGCTTGTACTAATCATCTGCACTCTCCCTCCTCCTGGGTCTGTGACCCTGTTAACGGATTTTAAACTGAATTAAGTCTCCAGTTAGTGAACATGTTGAGCTAAAAGTCTGAGACTGGAGGTGCCAATATCTTTAAAAAAATGGGGGGATATGTATGTATATATGTGTATAAAACTAAGTATAGAAGTGAACACTCTTAAATCTGAAAGTGTGCACTTCAACCTCATGTTCTTATATTATATATGGACTGCATAGTAAGTTAAAAAGGTTGATTGATGACAGTAAATGACTAGAGGTGGGCGATATATATCGTTTGCGATAATATCGTCATTGTTGTTTTGACGATGTGCAAATTTCCATTATCGAGTATTTAAATTACTTCACCAAAAATATTGAAACGCACGCGGAAACTCCTCACATCCATTAATACACGGTGCAGCAACGCTCTCTACAGCATGGCAGGATTCAGTCACACGACTAGTGGGCCTACGTGATCACATGACGTGATCACATGACCTCTCGCTAGCATCCTCCTTGCAACAGTTTAGCAGCGCGTTGTGATGGTAGAGGGAAAATGCAAACACCTCCAGTCCCTGAAGCTACCGGTACTTCAGATGATTTAGTGCCGAGACGTGGGTCTACCTCTCTGGCATGGAAATGGTTTGGTTTCGAAAAGACTTTTTACCTCATGTTGAAATCTGTTCAACTTTTAACACCGCAGGGCGCTCGGAAAATGAGTTTTTGAGCGCTCTCATCGCTAAAAACGCATTTGGTGGACACAAGCCCTAACTCAGACAATTCCAATCACATTTGAAAGGATATCGACTGATTATCGCTATCGCCAAAATCCCCAAAATATTATTCATATTATTTTTTGCCCATATCGCCCACCAACAGGATGCATGAAGTCATTTTATTCCTTCTGCTCTGTCCCTCAGGTATGACTCTCTGACAGGCGTCCCGTCGTGTCAGCGTACGTTGGCCTTTGAGAAAGGAAGTGTGTTGTTCAACATTGGTGCTCTGTACACGCAGATCGGAGCACGACAGGACCGCTCTGCAACGGCTGGCATAGACAAAGCTATAGATGCCTTTCAGAGAGCCGCAGGTAATGAAACAGCACATACTTAACCTGAATGCTCCATAGTTAGAACAGCCAAACAGTTTTACTTTAGTTCATTTTCTCTCAATTGGCTGTTTGTTAAATTATTTCAGAACAACATAATTATGTTTTGCATATTTGTGTGTTTATGTCTATTTCCTTCTTTTTGTGTTTTAGGTGCGTTTAATTACCTTAAGGAGAATTTCTCCAATGCTCCGAGTCTGGATATGAGTAATCCGTCGCTATGCATGCTGGTACGACTGATGGTTGCCCAGGTGCAGGAGTGTGTTTTTGAACGTGTTACACTCACCACACAGGACACACACTTCACTTCCCAACTGCGCCTGGCACAAGAGGCTGCACGGGTGAGTTAACACGTCTCTGGTTGTGCGTTGTTGTTACGGTTTATCTACCGTGACTCTCACCCTGTACGTGTGTCTCCTGTAGGTGTCAGACGTCTACTTGTTAGTGCAGCAGACCATGACGCAACCTCTGATGAAGGACTACGTGCCGTTTTCTTGGGCATCCATGGTTCAGGTCAAATCTGAACACTTCCGCGCGCTCTCACACTACTACGCTGCTGTGGCACTCTGTGACCACACGTGTACGTTGCACCAAACCAGTCTGAGTATTTCATTTAATATGACAATGAGGGTTCACACTGTTGTAACCTCTGCAGAGGAACTAATGTCTCAGCCACATTCAGTTGTTTCTATTTTAATGGTCTTTGTTTGCACTAAAAGAAATGCAGTACAGAGATTAATACATGAAGACATTCACATATACAAAAACACACCTACACACAGACAATTTTATTTATGTAGCCCAATTTTAGAGAAACACACACTGTACTATATCTACACATTAACTTGGAATGTCTTGTTCTGTAGTGTCTGCTGAGGATGAGGAGGGTGATGAGGAAGCAGAGAAGGCTTTCCTCCAATTCTACATCAACGTCCCTGCAGGACCGCCGCTCAGCCAGATTTTACGAGACCCTGAAAAAAGAAGAAAACTTGGTGAGTTCATGAAAGCAAGATTATCTTAAGTCCCATATACGACTTTGTTTGTTGTTTACATAATGTCTGATTACATGTCTGCAGGTAAAGCTCACCTGAGGCGTGCAGTAATCAGACATGAGGAGGCCATGCGCGTCCACAGTCTGTGTAAGATCCTGAGGAAGATGGACATCCTGCAGGACGTGCTGTCTCTCACACACAAACGCTCTCTGGACAAGTACTCCGAGCTGGACAGAGAGGACGACTTTGATGAAACCGCAGAGGCTCCAGAGATACAGTGTAAGTATCTGTTTGAAGACAAACATTAAAGATATTAAACCGTGATTAAATGACAGTAAGTGATTGTCTTCTGTTGACAGCTCAAACCCATCAGAAACCAGACATCACTCCACCCAACTTCTCCACAGTGCAAGTTACTGATATCTTCCAAAGACTGGTAAGACACATTCATTGCAATAAATACACACATTTACTGCCTCAGTGACTGAAAACGTAGCGCCAATTAAGAAAGCATTAAAAACCTCTCCTCCCTGTACTGCAGGGGCCTCTGTCAGTGTTCTGTGCACGGGCTCGCTGGGGTCCGATACGTGTGATCTGCCTGCAGAGAGGAGAGGGTGGACTGGGTCTCACGCTCAGAGGAGACTCCCCCGTCCTGGTGGCTGGAGTGGTGCCTGGAGGCTGCGCGGCGGTAAGACAAAACTCCACTGAGCTTTATGTGCATCAGTTACAGCAGTACTGTTAGTAAAGTTAGATTCTGATTCACTGTTTACTTACTTTACCAATTATGTATTTTGATTTTTTTTGCGAAATTTGTTTGTAAACTGCAGTGAACAGTGCAGTTTTTAATGATTGACAAACGATGTGGATCTTTCCTAATGTTTGTGGCGTAGGAGGCGGGACTAAGGGAGGGAGACTACATAGTGGCAGTGGACGGACAGGACTGTAAATGGGCCAAACATGGCGAGGTGGTGCACATGCTGAAGAGCTGTAGTGACAGAGGAGTGGAGCTCAGTGTGGTCACATTACACTCACATGATATACAGGTAAGGAAGAGTGTGTATGTGTATGTGTGTGTTAGTCAGTGACTGCTGTTTCAATGTATGGGTGCTCACCTGTGTGTGTGGAAGCAGGTGGAGAGGAGGGCCATCATGCTGTCCCACAGCAGCGATAAAGAAAACACTCGACAGCGTCTGCTGAGTGGCGCCAAGGGCCAGAGCTCCGCCTCCTTGTTGAACTGGAACAGGAAGAAGAAGAGGGATGGCAGCGGGGTCACAAAGAGACTAGGAAGCACTTTCAGTCTGTCGTTTGGAAGCATCCGAGACAACGAGGCCATGTACTGAGACAGGACTGCAGAGGAACCACTCAGGGAATCACAGCAGTGGAGCACACGGTACAACCAGGACAGTAACACCAGCAGGGGGCGCTGCTGCAAAGAGCTCTGACAAAAAGCACAAGTTCAGTCCAGTGATGTACGACAGCACAGTCCAATGTATCCAAGAACTTTGTTGGTCAATCAAATACGTGGAAGCACACATACCAGGTAGAACACCTTGTAGCATGTAGCTTGTTGCTAATTTTTACATTTCAAAAGTGAAGATGGAGGATGTTTCCATTGCTGCCATGCCACCATTTCAGAGTTGAACAGTCCTGCCTCAGAGGAGCGCGCCGTACTGCGCCGCCTCAGAGTCTAAAGCTGTGTTGAGCCAGAAGGTAATTGCACAAAAGACTTAATGGAAAGATGTGAGTATGTGTGAATTAGGAATGGGTATTTTCAAGACATACAGAGTACTCAGATTAAAAGAAATAAATTATCCTTAAAAGCAAAAAAGGATAGTATCCACTATAAATGTGGGTGGGGTTATGGTTTTCCTACCTCTCTGCGATACACAGACCTTACAGATTCGCCCCATTGGTAGCTTGTTCTCTGGCTCAACAAACACCAGCAGCCCGCAGAAGCTTTCTCCTTCCACAAAGGTTGTCCGGAGCATATCTCCAGTCACCATCTCCGTGATGACGTGGCTGATCTTCTCTGCGCTGGTGGCGTCACAGCGGCACCGCTGTGTTCTCTTTGTGCTTAATAGTTAATCCTCAAACCAGCTGTTCTGTAATACGCAAGTTTAATGTTACATAGCTTGCACTGCATGTCCATGTGGTTTATTTGTTTATGAATACTTCCAAACATCACTCTTCTGCCTGGTCGCCATTCTGCCTGTTGTATTAGAGTGATGTGTGACTGAAAACGTTGGACTTTATTATGAGGCTGCTCATTTTATCGATAGAAACATACAAATACTCTCGTGTTGACCGAATGCTGACCTCCACTTCATGCCCATCTCCAGCATGAGTAGATGTAATTTCCTGGAGTGGCGCGAACTGAGGCTAAGACACGTTCACGCAAGTTGTTTGAACTTGTCGTCTTTGGTATATTCTATGGTATATATTATTATTCTATTATTGTACCAGCATTCATTAACAGTGAGCAGTTTGTTTCTGGTTGGCTCTTTCTGAGACAAGACAGCGTTACGTTTACAGACTGCCGTGCTGTTGCTGCTGCTTTGCGCTGTACAATGAAGCAGACAACAAAAGGGGGCAGAATGCAGAAGTTAAAATGACTTGAATCATTGACTTTACAGGGGCAGCCTTAGAATAAACAGGAAGAACCAGAGTTTCTGGTGAGTTCTGAGTTTAGTCTGAGCTGCCACACAAACACGTCCGTTTCTAGTTAGGTAACAGCTAATGTCTGTACAGTTGGCACGCTGTTTGGGTCAAACGGCCCAACAGTCAAATTTGTGTGAATGAGGCGAAGCAAAGATTTGTGTCGCTTTCTGTTTGAACACACCTTAAGTCTTAAAACTGGACTCCCCAATTCTTCTTACCAACAATATGTAGCAACATACCCACAACAACACAGCCCCCAGTTCATTGATCCAACACTGGTTTTTAAGTTACCGGTAAATGTGCGATACATTCGGATGAAAACACAGCTACTGGGTGGAGCTTCTGTTCTGTGTAAGACCACCGACACTGGATAACACCACCCATCTGAAGGATAGAGCAGAGTTAACAAGCACCATATTTCTTGTGTCTTATATTTTCCTTACGTGGTCTGTAACAGTCGCCTGTTTAACCACTGAAGTGCTCCTGAAACCATCTGAAACTTTTGGGTGGATTTGATTAAGTTCATCCACTGATACATTGTACTTCACTTATTAGTATGAGGTTGGATTCCTCGTCACGTCAGTGTTCTTTGTCTTTAGTTTTGTCATTTTTAGATGATTAAAAGCACTTCAGAGGTTTTGTAGTTTGGGTATTTTTAACGCACTGTGAATATTGGAAATCTGTTAATAATGTAGATGTGACCTGATGTTTCAATAATGAACACTCACATTGAGAGGTTGTGTGTATTTGAAATGAAATGTGAGTGTTGTTTTGTCTTATACCTGTTGTATTGTTGAGTCCAGCCACTGTACTGTATGTTACAGTCAGCCAACGTTAGATAGAAGATAGAAAATGTTTCCTTTAATTAACATTGTTTGAACCTTTTTGTAAGATTTTGATACAACTAGAATTGTGAGAATTGTAGCTTATTATTGTTTGGTCCAGCTAAAATAATGCTGTGTGTTTTTATCTGTACGTTGTTTGTGCCATGGTGGTCCATAGTCAAGAGAACGGAAAGCCAGAGGGGACAAACACAATTATTTATAATGGTTTTGTTTTCACATGACTGCAACATAATTGTTCTGCGATGTGTTTTTATTTTGGTTTCAGTTTCATGCCACGATTGCAAAACAGTGAGCTTTTTATCCTCAATCATGAAATTAATTTCTGATTTCAAGGAACAGAAAAACTGGTCAGATCTTTCCTAATGCCCTCTTCAGCTCTTGTGTGTGTGTGTGTGTGTGTGTGTGTGTGTGTGTGTGTGTGTGTGTGTGTGTGTGTGTGTGTGTGTGTGTGTGTGTGTGTGTGTGTGTGTGTGTGTGTGTAAATAAATGTTAAGAGGAAGACTTTCTTTCTTTGTGTTGACTGAATATCTGACCATCCCTTAATGACTGCGTTTGGGGATTTGCACAGTATTTTTTTTCATGTATGAATACAATAAAAGTGAATGAACTATAATCAGCTTCATGTTTGAATGTTGCTGACACGCCGTGGCGAGTCGTCACTCTACCCTCTCACTAAGAACTACCTCATTTATAGTATGTACAGTATATAGCATATATATGTTCAGTAAAGGAATCAGCAGGGAAGACTCCTGTCTGCATTCATTGACACCTCTATTGCACACAAACATATATAGAATTAGTTTCTTATTTTTCTTAATTCTACCAAATCATCTTGTATTAATTACAATTTGAAATCACATTATTTATCCAGATGTTATTTTAGACAACTTTTTAGTTTTTGGGTTACTAGTTAGTTGATGCTTATATTTTACTGAGGATGTTGTCTGATATTAGAGATTACTGTTTACCCACCTTCATTTAGTCTCCACCAGTAAGCAATGTCTTCAATGCAATGTTACTTAGAGCTATAGAAATATATTTATCACCACTAGGGGAAAAAAACAACAAAAGCTGACATACACAGATCTACAGAAATCTCACCCAGTGTAAAAGTCTCTGATGTCTAATCTGATCCTGTATAATGTGGTAGACTGTTTACGTACCTTCAGGGTGACGTCCTCAGTCAGCTCCAGAGGAGGCTTGCTGTTCAGCTCTGCTCAGCAAGCAGCCATGACATCCTCATCAAGGCACATCAAAGTGTCAGACTCCCAAAGTTATGAGTCACAGCAGCAGGCTGAAAACAGATCTTGAATCTTGTCTGTAGAATTTGAAGATATAAGACTTTGATGCCCCCCAGTGGTAGCATCAGTAAGACACTGCCCTTAAAAGGCCGGCTGTCTCTACAACATTCACAGGCCACAGTGTGAGAGCTACCGTGCACCAAATGATGTGCCACCTGTATAGATTTATACCTGTATAGAAGTACTTTGTCTGACAGTTTTACAACAGATAACACGGCACATTCACACAGTTTAGGGACAAATTAACATCGGTCCTATATTTCAGAAGGCAAGTAACTCTAATTTTAGGGGCCGTTTTATGCCTTTTACCGGATAGTGACAGGCAAAGAGACAGGAAAGGGAGCAAGAGAGAAGGGGGGGTTGGGCACTCTCTACCAGATCAGCTACCAGGGCACCTCAGGAGGCTCAAAACTTTAACACTTTACTTTGGGAATTACACGCAGGATTAGTGTTAGGGACCCAAATAGTAGTATGCTGATTTGATTTGATTCACAATAGGTACGGTGGACGGTGAGGGTCACATTAGTCGTACACATAAAGTGACGTAAACCTGACCCCAACACCAACATTAGGTGCTTGGTGGTCGGCGACTGCTGTGGGCACAGGTCTGGCAGAAAGGCAGAATCATTATTAAGAATATTTCAGCATGAAAGCAGTCAGATTTACAGATTTGGGCTTTTGAGGATGATTTATTAAACGTCATGTGGGGGTTTCAGGGCTAACAAAGTCCTTCTGGTCCAGTCTAACATGGAGGGGTAGGATACAGCGGGATCTGTTAACAGAAATGATCAATACCACATTATTCTTCTGTGGTTGTAAATGTTTGCACGATGAAAGGACGTGTAGCATCACGGGATGGATGATCATGTCCCAGACAGAGTTCATGAGAATCTACTGATGCTCCTTTAAATTATTTTGCCAAAATCACAGACACAGCTGCAAACTTTATATCCAGTAAAAGGAAAGTGCCGAGCAAAGGAGCACGTATCTCTTTGCCACTTTAAATAAAGACCAACAGTTTGTGGGAATCCGACTGCAGGCGAGCTGGTTGGCGACCTTTAAGTCCGTCTCCCTACGATCCTCCGGTGGCGACCCCTGTCCCCAGGCCGCTCTGTTCCAGCTCCGCTATCACCGACATGTGTTTGAACTCTGCAGGGCAGTGGTTGAAGGTCTCCACCAATCGGTACGTCTCCTGCCTCTGCGTGCCGTAGAACAGCTGCACCTGATTGGCCAAGCACTGGGCCTGGTGGACGGTCTGGGGAGGGGAGGGGCAGACGGTTTAACATACAGCCAATGCTTGTTGTCCAGGTCTGAATACACTCATATAGTGTGTGTTATTTGTTAACAATGTGTGCAGGCTGCAGCTAGGTGAGTCCATGCAGGTAAAGACTGCAGGTAGAGGACTTACTATGAACTTGGGGTCCATCTCTGCCGTCATGAGGACCACGCCCTTCTCCTCCTTCAGGTCTGGGTAGTGGTAGAGGATCAGCTGACTGGGAGCGTTCTCGCCCAGCATCTGGACACCAACAGAGAGAGGATGAACTGTATTTAACACATCCAGATAACACTGTGTCCACACCCACAATCCACAGAACTTCAGCTTTCCCTGAGCGGCCGTTTTAATGGCCAACAGGCTGACTGTTTGACCTTCAGGGGGCGTGAACGTGAAGGCGGTGCTGTCCCGGGGGAGCGACAGAAGGGGCCGTGTGAAGTGGGTTTACCTGGACGTTGATGAGGGAGGTGAAGTGGAGCTCGTGTCCGGACCACTGACCCAAGAAGAACTCATAACCCTCCTGCTGAGGCAAAGCGTAGAGGAACTGATAGAAACAAAGAGAGAGCGAGAGAGAGGGAGAGAGGTTACCGTGGTGATGGCGATGTGATGCATATTCTGGCTGGTTGCTTGGAAGCAGGAAAAATAATAAATATATAAATAATCGGGTACTTTACAACCATTTTAGCCGAACCCTGAACACAAAATGAACCACTGGTTTTACTCCAGGGCGAGCAGCAGAGATCTTACCGTCTGGCAGGACTGTGATCTGTTGAAAATCACCTCGTAGATCTGCGTCTGCAACGTAAGAGAGGCGGTTATTAGATCATCACTAGCCACCGTGCCAATGTGAACACTGTTCATCCCTGTTGGATTCATAAAACGGTCAGTTTCTATTTACAAGCTTCACGTGGAGGAGGCAGTAATGTTATATTTGGGCTGCAACTGTCCAGCACTTATCTACAACTCTGTAAGTAAAGAGACAAAAACAACACTGGACTTCTGTAAAAGTCACAAAAATTAAAGGAGTTATTGTTCAAGGCGAGAACACAAATTTTGTTCATTTAAAAAAAAAAAAAAAAAATATGAAGAGACGTAAATGGCAGAACACGAAACGCTGAGTCAGCATGTTCTCCGGCGTTGAACTCACCGGGATGACGGCGCTGATTGTGTCCTTGGCCGAGTAATATTTCATCCAAAGCTGAGAGAAGAACACGAGAGGTCAAAAACAGAAAAACCAGGTTCAGAAGCTTTTCAACGGCAGCAGGAAACGATGCGACTGCGGGCGGCGGCGAGGCAGGACCAATCACAGACCGCAGACTCACCTCTGCAATCTCCTCCCCCGTCTTGTCCCTGATCATCTCCAGGTTGAGGATGGAGTTGAGCGTCTGAGGAAGAACACAGTACACAGACAGTTACGGGTGCACGCTTTATCGTCTTTATCCTCTTCATCTTCATCACACTGAGAACATTCATGACTCTTTCCAACGTCGTAGAAAAAAACCAAATAAAAACAGAAAATAACTGAAGACTAAAGTGTTCCATGAACTGGTTCAAAAACATCAGACCTAATTAATTAGATCTCTTTATATGAATGGGAAAAGTCATGAGGAGAATCCCTGAATGTAACCATAGAAACACAAGAGGAGGCTGACTGAACTGCTCCTCCTCCGTCTCACCTTGTTCTTTGTGAAACCTCCCGACGCTCCATCGCCTGCAGCCACCTTGTCCCTTTTCTCCAACTGCACAGATTCCCACAAACAAAACGGTGACGTCACACTCGTAACCAGAAATAAGATCCATGATGTGGATAAGAACCAGGAGCATTGTGTAGAGGTGGAACCTGCTCCTCCCGGCTGTTGTGTTTAAGGGTTTATGAATGAAATACTTCACCTCCTGCTCCATCAGCTGAACGAACTCCGCCTGCTTCGAGTGTCCCAGCACCTCGCTCTTGGCCTCGTGCCGTTTCTCCACTCGGGCTTTGTACTCCTGCGGTTTGGAGCTGAAGACGAGTCGGACAAACACGGTGAGCGACCTCCAGCGTTTCCCAGAATGCCTTGTAACTAACTCAGAGGCTTGATAAAGCAGCATAATAGTAGTTTGACCTCACTGACTGTAAACTGTGTTTGCTCTCTGCGGTCGGAGGAAAAAAACAAATGCTTCTACAACATTTACCAACCTTACAGACAGTTTATCTATTTACATTCAGTTCATCGACCTGTGATATTATTATTATTATTATTATTATTATTTCTGTGTCTGCAGCATGAAGGCACAGTCAGGTGTTTTTGTTGTTGAGGTCCTTAAACACACCACCAGGAGACTCCTTACTGCTTTTAAACTCTCTGTATCTAATCTATGAATTATTGAAGTGATTTATCAAGCAAACACTTTCTGTTTCCATCTTTTTCCAGTCTGTTGAGATTATTGTTTATTAAATTGAGATGAAAATCCCTGCATCAGTCTGTAAAGTGTCCAGTTATAGTGTTTCTAATGGATTAACCCCTCCATCCTCCCGTAGACCTGTGAGTCAAACGTTCCGCACACAGGAAACATTTGTTAAAGTTGAATTGATTTTGCAGCACAAAAACACAATTAATAAGTCAACATTAAAAGTTAAAATTAAAATAGCTGTAACACTGCTTGACAGTTTAAATATAAACCGAATATATCACCAGCCCGTCAGAATTCATATGATATCATTTTCAACAGTCTAGATAATGTTTACACTCATCCACAAGCAAACTACTTTTAAAATGTCAGATTTTCTAACGGAGTTCCGGACTCGGCGCTGTTAGCTTAGCGTAGCCCGCTGACCTGCGCAGCTCCTGGATCTTGTCCCGGTACTTCCTGAAGAACGGGTTCTGCTCCAGCTCCGGTTCCGGTCCCGGTTCCTTCCGCAGCGAGAAGGCTCGGAAGTGTGCCGGGACCAGCCCGGGGATCAGCGGCCTGATCCCGGTGGCTCTGACCGCCAACATGCCCCGATACAGACATGACATCTGTAGCACAGCCACCGCCATCTTTCCATCGCTCCCGTCCAAC